AAGAGAGAAAGATGGGGGAGTGTGAGAGAGGAACGAGGCACTATGCCTAGGTGTGGCCTTGGCTTGCTTGGTGCTGTGCTCACTCGTGGCCTTCTGGACCGCCCAGAGCCGGAGGTGCTTCCAAGCTATCCGGGCGGCTCTGACTGCTTTAGCTTTGCTGCTTGCTTGCTTCTAGGCACTGGACGGGAAGCATCTGGGGGGGGGGCAAGGAGGTTTGAGCTCCAAAGGGGAGGGGGGCGGGTGGTGTCCAGGGGTATGTGCGCTGTGAGCAAGAACTGGGGAAAGGCTGGGCGGGTACACACACCACACAGGGTAAAATGGTAGGGATGGCAGGCACCAGGTGGGTATCGCGGCGAAATTACCCAGTAGGCGTTAGGCGAGTAGGGGAAATGAGATGAGACGTACTAGCGGTGATGAGGGTTGAGCCGTGGGAATAGACATGAGGTACGGTCCTTCTTTGGTTGGGCTGAGCTCCGCAGCTCGGCCAAATTGGACACTGTGTGAGCTATGGCTTGTACACTCTTCTGCAATCAGCAGCCAGGACGTCTTCGTCGCGTCCCATGTCTCCTCTCCAGCCGTATGCTCCACCACAGACTGGCCTGCCGCCAAGCTCATTAGCAGCATGGGAAATCTCCAAGGTGGATACATTCAGGGTAGTCGAGCCGTATCCAGGGCAGAGCGAGCCGCCAGCACCTTGAACATTGTACAGGTGTACAGTATTCTCATCAGGCCCTTGTCACCATCCGTGTCTTCGAATCCCATCTCAGTTTCGTCGAGCATTGCCGAGGGCTGCAACCTGTCTGCTCCCCCTTCCCGCCCCTCTTCCTTTCTCCTGCTACTTCGCCAGCCCTCCTTACCGTCCCGCTCACACGTCTTGGGAACCCGAGACCTGGCGAGAAGGTAGAGAACGGTTCGAGGCATCGGACTGCTGCACCATCCGAACCTGGAATCTGCCGTGCCCAGGCCTGGTTTGTGGATCACCAGACGTATTTTGTCTCATCGTTTCAGCTCCTGATTCCTCACGGGCCATAGTCGGCGGCCCATGGCCCACTGACAGCTGTGGTCCTTGCATGGCGACATGGATCCAGGTACACTTGAGGCAAGCAAGCTTCAGCCTCAACAGGTATCTGGAAGGATTTTGTAGAAGCTCAGTTGGTCGAAGGCTCACAACTTCCACGAGGTCCACATTCCAGCTTCAACACACAACGTGATTGATGATGCCGTGATCCAGTTGGCTCCCACCCTTTTTCGTGAATCAAGGGAAGACCTCCCACACCGCCCAACTGAGGTGAGTATCCGCAGACCAGACAGACATGGCAAACAGAGCTTGAGAGCTTTCAGAACGACATGGGCAAGGGACAGTGACAATGCCACATTGGTGGCATCACTTTCCCGCCGCCAGTGGGGGTGCAGCCCACCACCTTACCCCATGATTGGCCACCTTGCCGCCCGCCTCAACAGCACATCTGGTTGGACGCCCAAGATCGTGGAGTATGGCCAATCGTGCCGTTTTCGCTTTCTCGGCTCTAAATCGTTGCTCCAGACCAGTGATGGCCCAACCCCAGGGCCAAGGGTTTTCCTGCAGGTCTTCCCGCAGGTGGCAAAACGTCGTCACGAAGACTCGCCCAACATGTGACCCGATCTTCTTGACCTTTCAGGAGGTTCTTTCAGGGAGGGAGGTTTGCCGACCTGGTAGCGAAGTTTAGATTCACATCAGCAATGTATGCTAATCAAGCTTGTCAAGCCGGCATCCAGAAAATATGGAGTGAATCTTTCCCAGTGTCGAACAAGTGATCAGTGGTGGAGCGTTTGTTTCCGTATTGAACATGGCTCGCGATGCTGTTGCCAGTCATTCTTTGTACGAAGGCTAGGCTAACCTGGTGGAAGAAGCCACTCTCCTGGTTCACACTAGCAATGCAGCCTCCAGATAGCCCGAGGTGACCTATCCCAACGGCCATGGGCGTATTGCCCGTGCCTTTAGCCACAGCGGCACAAACGAGTTGCTAAGATATCTACATGTAGCTATAATGGGATCATGATATTTTCAGTAGAGCACAGAAGGTGGCAGTGCAGGAATCTTCGTCGGGGCTATGAGAATCGATGTCACTGAGCCGCATCATCGTGATGGTTCATGAAGAAAGCATCCCGCACTGGTCCCCGTTCTGCCGATCTGCACAACGGAGCGCCCTCGACGGGCTTCGTCTCATGAGCTCGGCCTTAGTGGATATATACGAGACAATGAGACTTGTCACATCTTCATGGGCAGTAAGGTTACATTCTCAATATTCTGTCGAACTTGATCGCTCAGATCAGCCTGATCGACGTACATCAGACAACCGTGTTCGTCTATTCTTTCGATTTTGATGAGAGAACAATCATGACTCTCTCCATCTACGCGATGGATAGAGAAGGTCAAATTGCCAGGTCAACATAGCCAGAATGTTCCTGCTCCACCAACGAGGGGCCTCTTAACCTTCAGGTGATTTGGGCCTCGCAAAAGGCTGTATATCCAGCCTCTCACGAACATCAACAAAGTTTTTGTGCATGGGCTGTCGCGTAGCGCCCTCGCGATCTACAGGTTCGGGGTTTCGTCACTGTTGGTAAGACTCGTTGAGATCTCATTTACCCCCATTTGTTCAGCAAGATCCGATGGGGTCAAGACAATCAACACTGTTATGAACAGCCCGTTGGAAGGACTTGGAACATCAGAACATTCTCCTCTAATGTGAGTGCAATCCTGGGGATGATGCCGGGCATATGTCGGCGCCGTACTTAGCTCATAGACGTGGGGTATTCGGACAACGTCGACACGTGACGATGCCGTGGTGGATTCCGCCAGTCACAAGCCACACGCCGCTAGCATGAGATGAGTAAACGTCATGCCCATGGGGAAGGCCACCGACCATCCCTGTTGCAGCTGGCATTCCAGCATGTGAAATCCCACTAGGTACGCTGGAAGACCCGAGGCTTTGTTACTCCAACATCCGAGCTGGTCATTCGCGGGACCCTCCACGGGACCACCTATCGGCATCGTGCCTAATGTAAACCACCATCACAAGCTTGCCCAGCGCTGCCCGTTTTCCCCAACGAGGCCACATCTGCGAAGGCCTGCACCGGAATTACAACACCACATCGCACCCTCCGATCTCCGTCATGGTCACACACCCTCTCTGATTCAACAGCAAGACAGCTTCTGCCCGGCGCTTTCGATCTGTAATGGGTTCCCATTCATAGCATCAATCGACACCATTGCGCCAAGCTACTTCGCTTGCGCCCGACAACCATCGACATGGCTGCTCAATCGACCCTTCGTGGGTCTGCAGCCGAAGAGGCCATTGCGGCCTTCATTGAGAAGTACTCCACCATCTTCCGAACCCGACTGCGCAGGACGACCCGAACAACCCGACTCCTCGCCACACTCGCCCTCGCAACATCCATCATACTCAGCGCGGCTGGAGGGAGACGCTGGTGGAAAAGCCGCAAGGAAGAGAGGGAGCAAGGTCGCAAGCTGGTCCGTACCAACTCGTGGCTCTTCAACAAGGATGGCTCCCGCACCATCTACGTGCCGTATAAGGAGGGGACCTCCAAGGTCGTCATCCACACAACCAAGCCCTTGACCTTCGAAGCCCATCGCCGCCTCTTTCTTAACCCGCCGCGGGTGTCTGGGCTCGGCGATGGGACTGTTCCATCTGCACAGACAAAACCCGGTCTCAATTTGGCCTTCCTGCACCAGTTCCTGAGCTTGATGAGCATCATGATTCCGCG